AAGTAACTTTTTATGGTTTAGTTGGAATTAATGATTTTGGCATTGACTTTGTTAGTCATCTTAATATAATTCAAGAATGTAAATTATTATTTAATTTATCGATTTTAAATTATATAATAATAATAACGGTTGGCTTTACCCGCATTCTTTACAAATATTAAACTGGTATGACTAGGTCCGGTGTATATGCATTACAATTACTACGACTGCACGGTTGGTGCGGTGGCTGAGCAACTTGCTGCCGTGCAACGTGTCGCGGGTTCGATTCCCGCACGGAACAATTCTTTGTGTGATCCACAAATTGTTGTTTCGGGTCTGGGTGTGATGTGTATGTGAAATTGTATGTTTGTAAACGCACCCACAGGAGAAAATCCTAGAGTGGGGCAAAGTTTAAAATATATATGTATATATATATATATATATATACTTATATGTATATTAGCAACAAACATGCTTTTTAATATACATAAGTAACAGCAGCTTGGTATTTTAATATTTTATCAAAAAAACACTCAATAATGTAGCCCCAAAAAATTACAAAAAGATACGTTGTCTTTTAAAACATCCGTAATAATATAAAAGAAAATATATCTCAATATCGAATCGAAATACAAAGTGTCAAAGCAAAATACAAAAGGAAACTGAAGATGAAGCGAATGGTAATGGCGCTGGGGTGAGCGCGAAGCATGGAAAATAATGTCTTCGAGGGAAATTACTGCGAAGCTTAGGGGATGCTATCTCCACACAGGAAAGGCGTGAGTGTGAGGGCTAAGTGTCTTTTTTCCAAGTTATTTGACGCACCATTCTTTCAGTCATGAGCTCGGAACGAGAGTCGCAAAAAATTGCCAAACGCGAACATTGTCGGCAAGAAACGTAATCACTTCCCACATTATCAGCCCTAAAAAGTTTATATCGTGTTTTTATTTACGTATTTTCTAACAAATGGACTGTAGCTGCAATGTATCAGTTTTTATCGAGCGAGGTAAATGGAGTTAGAACGAGTGCAATGTACGATTGGCTGCGTTTAAACACGTACTGGTCCTGGATTTGAAATAGACTCCAATACATTGCTCTGGCAGTGACAAGTTACTAAAGAACCGTCTTCGAGTTACGTAGATAACTGATCACAATTAATCGACTTCTGGTTCTAGCACGTTGCGACGTCTATTTGTTTTAATTTAATTTGGTTCTATTCAGTAGAAATACTTCGTAGGAAGGGAGTATATTAGAGATCTTAATTAATAACTTTGAACCGTAGTTTTCTGAGGTAAGTGCGTGAGTAAAATGTTTGTCTAAGTAAAAGTTATATTAATTTTCAACTTACCGTCATTCCACAGCTACCTAGCTGACCAAATATCGCTACAAGAAAGCCTATATTAGTAACGTAAGGGTTTGCGGATCTCTGAAAGCTTTTGTTTCCAAAGGGCTAAAATTGAAAAGTGACTTCGTTAAACAACCTTGGAAGAAGTCGCTACTAAAAGTGTTTTCATTATAGCATTATTTTATTGATATTCAGAATATAAGTGGGACGGTTGTTTCCAAATTTCAAACTAATAATTTCATAAAAAGATGAAGAGATGATCTCACTATATAATTGATTTAACTTTAAACGTATTATTTTATTGTGTAAAAAATACTATAGGTTTTACATTTCTTAACATACCATTTGAATTTAATTAGCTGGAAAGTATCCAATCAGTAAACTTTAGGTATATAATAAATGAAACATTACATAAAATATTGAAGCTTTTATTTACAAAATTACCAACATATAATATCACTTTGGGAATTTGCAGGTTTACTTGCATAACGCCATAAATATACATAACTATTTATTACTATTTTAATAAAAACAATAGTGATTACAATTCCTCAATTGTTACTTACAGTATGCCTACTATTATAGTAGGTGTAATTTTACGAAATGTTCATGTATCGATTATTGGAAGTACAATAATAATTGTAATATCTAATTCCTATTATGAAAATTATAGTTACAATGGTAAAAAATGTTTTCCAGTACTTTTATGATCGGATTAATGCGCCCACAATTATCGAACAACAATTTTAATTATACTAATCAATTTTAATACATTATTTTATTTAAAGAAGGTACAAGGTAGCTTTCAGAGATTGTTTATAAAGATCTAAATAATCAAAATCTAAAATAGTTACGAAAACAACAGTGAAAATTGCCTGTAAAAATATTAACTTAGTTGAGATTTGATTAGCTTTTAGATACCTAAGTGGTTTGTAGACACAGCAATTGAATTTTCTTTCCCTATACTTGAAGCTAAAAATAAACGTTCTAAGAAACAGTTAATAAGAAAATACTGAACAAGAATCTCGTTAGAGAAATGTGTAAAGAGTTTCTTATTTTTAAAAATGAAATAATATTTTTTCTTAAGGTTACAGTGGGCGCACACTTACAGAAGGAAGAAAAAGATCCATATTATTGCAAAATGCTATAAATTGTCAAGAAGCGTACACAATTCTGCAATAATTTATAATTAATTCACAATAATGTATGCATTATATGTCTTCAATATTATAATGAATAATATTCAAATAAAATAATTTAATAATTAAACACATTTATAACGTGATTGTATTTATAAAGACGAGGCAAGTTTTTGGGGTTTACTAAGAGTATTTTTACAACAACCTTTATTTAAAAAAAAACTAATATTTATCACTTTTTAGTTATTTTAGGCCTTGTCTATACACACAATCACGTAACTCGTGAAAGATATTCATATCCCAATGAAATTAAAATACATTACTCGATTTTTTAATCTGTATTGGTGTATTCGCAAAAGCTTCTACAAAATTCTAATATATACAAGAAACTTTTTACGTTAATACCAATATAATCAGATTAAAAAAATGACCTTTAAAGTATGAAATTTCATTGGAATTGGAAATTTAAATTAATTAAAATATTTGCCCAAGTAACTGAAATCAATTGATTTTGGCATTTATCTATTACTACAAAGCGTAATTTACATTTATTGTCACAGGTGTGAGAAATAGAACAACAAAAAGAGAAATGTAAAAATCAATTTTATCGTTACATGGCTATTATTATGCGACTTAAATATTTTTTATTTACAACATTTTTTAATTATCATTTTTATACGTAATAACAATTATGTCTGGTTGTATATCTATACAAACACGACATAGATATGTTTCAGACTTCGTAAAACAATGAATTGATCAAAAATTTACCCATTTAATTGTGATAAATTATTGAAATAAATATGTGACCAACAAAAGTGCTTCTCACAAATGTTAATTGAATATTTGGTTTGTTATTTAGCAATTTACCTATTACATGTGTGGACAGAAATAAGTAGGTTCAGTAACGGTGGTTTTTGTTATAAAATTTCAAAGGTAGGAGATTTTTGAGCGGCATGTATTTTCAGAATAGCCCAATATATTTTGTCCAGGGCATTTCGTCAGCGGAGTACTGATTTATAGCGTAACACGATTATGCAATTCCTATCACGTTCTAAATGCAAGCCGTCAGTAACTTATGAATGTTACATGACAATTCAACCGAGAATTCGCGACGCGAATAATCTTTGGAAGCGAGGCTGCAAGTAATGTGGCTCATATACAATTTGAATCAAGCAACATATTTTGTTGCCATTTTCTGAACCTAATCTCTCTCAAAATACAACAACGTATTATTACGTATCAATGCTTTAACAAAATGGAATTATAACAATGAAAATGTCATTAATAAATTTCGAAATGTACCCTTTCTTTAATCCCTAAAATTTTCCTACCTACATACATAAATACAAAGATTCAATAAAACAAATTCCTCTCTCATTTCTACATTATAAATCAGTACACGCTTTTAAGGGAAAATGCCACTTAACATGTCCATAATTGGTTGGACTATGGCCGGGAAGCTATAATTTATATGTTATAGATAATAGAAGGGATTAAATGGCAGGCAGGCCGTCCGAAGGCGATCGGTCCCTGTCGATGAATTGAAGCCGCAACACAATTAGAAGGTAATACCGTGGGCTTCCAGTAACGTATTGGCTTTCGGTCCAGCATGAACAATTAATATCTCATAGGCTCAGTTCTGCAAGACGCACCCTGTTTTTTTTCTTTGAACCTAGCAATCGACCATCAAAAAAATATTTTATATTATATGATACATAGTTACACACTAGCCTTTCACATCGCATCCATTGTTTAGGTCCGGCATTCCACAAGGTACAGTACATTTAAAATATAATGGAAGACGAAAATAATAACAATAGAATATCATCAATTTCCATAGAAACAATGGGAATTAACTTTTCATAGATTTATATTTGCACACGTATAAAATTGTTTATTTCAAAAGTCTATTTACAATAATTTCTAACTACTCTTATAACGTTGTCTTAAGACCCTTCAGTGTATTCGTTTGCAACCGCAGGTTTATAGAAAAATAACAAAATTTAAGAATTAATCACGTTTCAAACGTACAACAATATATCGTAGAGGCAGACAAAACATGATAATTTATTTAAAATAAAATAAATTTTCTTTGTATTTAATATCACGACACGTCGCTCGACTATAGTATCACTTTGAACAAAATACATAATTGAAGTTTTCACTTTAGAATTTACCGTTGTGCTTGAAAACCTATAATTACAGATATAATTGAATAATTCAAGGTACATAAGTTCCCTTTACAATAATGATATACGATTTAAATTTTAATACTTAATGACTATCATGTCTGAAGGAAAATTTCGTCAGTTGGTACGTCGACGAAGCGTGAAAATTCGATTTAATCAATTTACACTGTTTTGTGATGAAAATTTTAACTTACCTGCTATGATGATTGTTTGCTGTGGGGTAGGCAGTTACACTACCAAGATTTGGTCTTCATAACTTTACAAGCACAGGCAAAAGCCTAGTAGGTACGAATAAATAAACATTTAGTGGCTTATATACAAACGCATAAAAGAAAATGTACTGAGTATCTAACAATACTTTTGGCAATTGACATCCTATTTCATCTATATGATGTGTCCAAGTACAAGAGGCCTGTTTCGATTATTTTCTGCGTTGTTTGCTCATTAATGCTCTGACTCTTTTGAGGTTGGTGATGGTAATGTCGTCATTGGGTTGTAGTTGCAGCGCTCGCCGGTAAGAGGTCGCCGCTGCTGCATACTTCCCGTTGAGATGGAGGATGGCACCAAGATTTGAATGGTACTCGGCGTCCTGTCAACAAGATTATATATTCTATTCTTGGTACTTACATATACTGTAATTCTTATATGAGGAGTTTCTGAAATATTATCTCCTAATACATTTCATTATATTAACCCTATAAATATATATTCCTCAAGAATATTAAGCAATGCTTTATTATTATATTCTTAATCCCTCACCCAATCACAAAAATGATGATAAAAAACATACCCAAATAGCTTATATTTTACTAATACCCTTGTACTAAAAATATTTTTTTGCGTTGTAAAAATGTCGAAATCAGTCAAATTTCATTTTTGCTGTACAAACAAAATATAACTCATAGAGTTTCAGTGCAAACCTTTCACAATTTAGAAATATAAAGGTGGCCAAATCTACGGTTGCGGTGCAGTGGTCATACGGAAACAGAACAAAAAGAAATAACACGTTCACCATTCGCTCTGTTGATTCATTTTTGTTTATACACCTGGCTTGCTTGTATTCTTTTGTTTATTTCGTGCATGTTTTAAGAGATTAACGTTGTTGTGACCACTGCCGTAATAAAGGTTATGATATAATAGCGACATGACTTGTTTCTTAAGGCGGAATTTGATGGCGACGAAGATGGTAATCATTTAACAGGTTGCCCTTTCATTAGATGTTTCCAAATATGCCTTACTTTTAACCACATCAACTTTCGACCACATTTACATACGGTTACTTACTTCTCAAAATTAACTGTATACCTCAAAATACGAGTGTATTTGAATAATAAAGTTCAAGTAACCTTACATAATAGATAGTGGAATTCAATATGAAATCGATTAAGGTAATTCACATGGATCATGACTATCGCACTAACACAACATTGGCCAAAACAAACACGCCGAAAAGGAATTCAACAAACAACAAAACGTGTCGTATTTCGAAAACCATAATTGGTAGCTCAAAGGTCAGACGAACGGGGAACAAAGAAAACAGCCACCGGCAAGACCTTGATCTGACCATGTTAAACAAACAAACAAGAATGTTCTCTTGCCAACCCATTCCCCTTTGAGCGATACGTTTAAACCCGATTATTTACGAATATAACCCACTGTAATAAATCAATTCAACAGACAGAGGTCGAACGCGTGATTTTTACACATGAATCTGTGAGATATTATTGGTGCAGCAAAAATGCAACGCCGAAAACGTTTCACAATTTAGACGTAACGTGACTTTTTTGGTCCCATCAAACACGTTTTGAGAGGGATTTCGACTTTTACGTGTTGCATTGTTTGAAATTCAAGTACCGATTGTTTGATTTATAATTTTTATTGCTTGCGGGTGAGCAACGATGTTTGTGGAACTAAAAAGTCATAGAAAGATATCAAAAATAGTTGAGGTTATCTTTTGTAACAAATGATGATAAATTTGGTTGAAAAATGTGGTTTCTCTTTTGTTAAACTATATTGTTTATGTCATTCTTAATCGTTTGTTTTGGAAGTGGAATTTGATATCGCTTTTTCTACTTACATCAGGATTTAACTGTACAGCGCGCGCATACCACCTCTCGGCAGAGCGGCAACGTCGCGCATCCCTCAGCGCCCGCGCAGCCGAAGCCGCTCGCGCACTATCCGTTGGTGATAACTGAGCTGCTGCTACTAACTGTTCTGCTGATTCCCTGAGACGCCGTTGTGATCTCAGGAACATACCTATTACACAAGAGGCAAATGACGAATTAAAACAACAAGAATTACTATTTCGAAGTAACATTCGAAGCCTTTGTGTTGCTACGAAATGACTACGACTGCTACGCCACTCATTTAACTCAATTTTATGATTAATATAAGGTAATAATTAATTAACTAAACACACAAGCGACATTCCTGCGACAGTCATTGATTAATGCCCTACACAACAAAGCTAAAACTAGTCAAAACTAAAACTTACCAAACTGATCTCTTACTGACGGATCGTTAGGTGCTAAAGTGAGTGCTTTTTTAAACCACATTTCAGCTTCAATACTTCTACTTGCCTGTAACAAAATATATTATTAATGATACTTGGACAAGTAACTTTCGGCGCTGCGATTAGTTTGGCGAGGTACTTAAGCAGTGTTGTAATTCTTGTAAGAGAATAATTGATCAATGCGGCGTAATAACAAGAGCCCCTTAAGGAGTAATAATCTTAAAATACCGCAATCTTGCCGCAGTAGAGAGTAATTTTAGCAGTTATCTCGTTATATGGCTTTGTATCTAAGACAAGGGCAGAAAGAATTAGTAATTTGATAGATACTAGCACAGCGACTAATGACTCTGAAGTTATAAAAATAAAAGATTTGAGTTGATAGTCGTAGTAGATGTCGTAGCGAGTCTACGAAAGCGCTACGAGCATACTACGAACGACGCGCGATGCTTCAACGCGACGGTAGCTTAATTACTAGATATTATTTTTTATTTAGTAACGAGACAAGTGATTGACACAATTGGTTCAAAAATGTGAATAGTTAATAATAGCGGTCCTCGATTAGCTCGGTAATAACATAGTTATATGAAGTCTAAGAAATGAACATTAAATTAAATTAAAAAAACAAAAAATATACTAACATTTCTGGCGAGTATTTGAGCTAATGTGACGTGAGTGCCAGCGTGGTGCGGCGCTGCGGCCAGTGCCGATACTAAACTGTGCTCGGCCATCGGCCATTGTTGTAGCTGCACATAAATCTCGCCCACCATTGAAAGGACACTCTGCAAACAACAAAACCGTAATTAGTCTAACGATATATCACACTGGTTGTATTGTGGGAGGGAGGAAGGGTGCCAACATCTATTCTCATACATGACGCACCTCAATTCCATTGATAGCTATATTTCAAGCAGGTTTACCCTACCCTTTTTTTAAATATACGGATTATGATTAAGATACCACCGAGGATATTTTACAGAAAATGAACCTTATTGAAACGCGACATGTACTATACTTACATGTCGTGTCCAGCCAACGATCGGTGTATTTGTGTCCGGCAGTATTTGCAGCGCTTCTTTGTATGCTGACAGCGCTTTATGCCAGTGCCCTCGTTGTGAATGTAAAGCTGCAAGCTGTACTAGAGCTGACACTCGTGCAGCGTCGTGTTCTCTCCGGTCGCGTACACGCACTCCCTCGGCCCGGGAACCAGCTCGAAGCGCACTTGCTGCTTCAGCTAAACGCCCGTCGGCCATTAATGATGTCCCGAGATTCACATACGCGACTAAAACAAAACTTATTATTATTCGCAGAGCTTGGAAGTCAGTGATAGACAGTACAATAACAACCGCTTAGACTCTCAATCTAAAATAGACATACCTAAATCACAGAAGCTAAATTCAAAATAGAAATCACTATGGCTTTACAGGTTGCTAGGTTATACTAATTCCAGTTTAACCGCAAGCTGGATTTATTAGGCAGAACTTCGAACCACAAAATAACTCAGACCAAAGTTGGAAGTGAATATAAAACATTTTAAATATTTATTTCCAACTGTCCATAGCTTACTTCATTAAAAACACTCCATTAAAACTTGTTCTTGTATTTACCTAGCAATGAAAATATTATAAACCCCTTTATTTCCAAGACAATAACAAAATTAGAAGAGAATAAAGACTCGGCCGGCCCTCATCTAAAATAATTTGAAAGGACAATCAAATTATTAGTAAGGGCTATGAAGAAATACCAAAGAGGCTTTGTTTTTAATAATTAATTTATCTCAAGTACTTACGAGCCATTGAAGGTCTAAAGTAAATTGCTCTCTCGAAACTTTTGATAGCATCGCTGTAACGTCTTTGGTTTTGTAGCAATATTCCCCTGAAACAAAGATAAACACTCGATTTATTGACGTTTTTATTTATTTATTTATTTAAAAAAATCGTTCGTTAAAAAAGACGTTCATATCTAAGAAATATTTTATTTCATTTTAAGTAGGTAGGTACATAAAATTGGAATGCAATTTCATCTTAGTACTTTTCAATTGAATATAAAATAAAACATAAATTCGGTTTGGAATGATATTAGTATGAAATAACTCTGTTTATTTACGTATGTATGTGTAAAATTGTACAAAATAATTTCATTTGTAAACAAATTTAGTATCAAAATAATTTTACAGGTCGTTGTTGTTTCGGTCTGCCAATCATAACTAACTAACCTGTGGTTTTTCAATAAATTAAACGATCAGAATATTGATCTGGCTAGTCAAACTAACTGTGTATAAAATAGTTTTCAAATGCCAATCGGTGGTAAAATTATGTGTCACGGCATGTATTCCATGCGTTGTTTATATTTAATTTAGTTTCATTTAATCAAACCCAAAATTCACAATTTTAATAGAGTATTTTTACCGTGGGATTTTTTTGTAATATTTATTAATGATTTTTGATGTTTTTATTCCATGGTTACTAAGCACGAAATCTCGAGCTCTGCAAGCCATCTGTAGTCGTAAGGCCACCCACTATCTATACTATCAATACCAAATGGGTAAAATATAGACACATACATATATATGTATATTAACATCAGTAAAGAAGAACAAATATTAGTTGATGTGATATATCAAAAAACAAAATACAAACAAAAGTATCGCGGCAATAAGATCTCCATAGTTGAACAATAATCGTAGACCATTGCTTAAGGCGAGGGCAAAAATAAACATTCCTTTTATAACTATGCCGCCGACCATTATTGTTTACTGTGAAAAGTTTAACAAAGTTTGGTACACAAAGGTTTCACGTGAAGCCTTATATGTAATTTGTAATACAAAAAATTCTTTACTCTTTGCATAGAAGTCGAACGCAATTATTGCTTAGTAAAAATGCTAAAAGAACTTTGATAGAATATACAATTCCAATGTACGTAAAATTATGTGAAAGAAATCTAACAAGAACACAGAGTCTAGGCGTGGAGATGACAATCGGGGAATTGTATGCGACGAAGCTTATAAAGAAGAGTATTTGAACAGTGCCTATTTGTCGTACATCCGTTCCATTCACACTATTCATCTTTCAAAGCCACATCAGAGTCACCTTTTGTGACGTATTCATATGACGTATGAAATATTGAACCAGCCTTCGTGCTGAACTGAAGCTGCGGAGCCTGACGCTTTCATATTCCACATTAATATTGCGATTCTAGTTTCACATTTGGCGCTAATTAGCGATGAGCACTTGCTGCTCGCAAATTCATAGCTCATCAAACGTTGGTTCCCGCTATACCACCAAATCCCATCATTATTTAGCTTTTGTATACCTACCAAAGCTGGAATCAGAATGGAAGTGGAATAACGTTTGTTTTGTAAAATCATAGTAAGAGTGTCTACCTACTCACGTAATTAGTAGTTGATCATCAAAGAGATTTTGAATTATTGAATTCATAGGAAACAAGCTAATGTGTATTTATATATCAAACGCGAAATGTATATACTATTAGAACAGGCATGATGACAAAGTTTGAAATTTAAAAAGTTAGTTATATAGTGGAATACCAGTTTTTTAAAACGTTTTCGATCCGATTCTAAGATAAACCGAATTTGTATTTTTATACTACGTATAAAGAAAACATAAAATATAGACTCGATCTATTAAATATAAAAAAAAACTTTAGGTCAATAAATAAAAATGATGTAACATTACTCTTGGTACCGTGACACTTTACTTCGTGGTCCAAAATCATATAACAAACAATAGAAAGCATACCAGAAGTCAACAACATTTGGTCGGCGTTATTACTCGTACCAGCGAACAATGCAAAATGTCAGCCTTAATGAAACATCACCTGATGTAACTGTACAACGTTATAAAAGCTGTATAGATAGATGCGGCAGTGCAATATTGTCCGCATGAATAATGCAGGGCCACAACGAGGCTGCTTCTACGTGGGACCAACGTACACTAATGAGAACCATCCAGCTCGGTCGGGCTATTATACCCTACTCTTCGCGAGCAATAATTTGTTACTAATTCCCTTCTTATTATTGTAACGTTGGCATTGTGAGTGAAATTGCTTTTGTGCGGTTGGTGCAGCCTTACCAAAACTCGCGTCGACGTTCGTCTCGCTGTTGGGCAATATTTAAATGCATGCATGTAACTAATTATGCAAAATGCGCTAAATACGTGTCATCAAGTTGATGGAGTTTTGCTGGAAATTTCAATAAACCTCAAACTGTAGGGTTTTAAAAATAAACACTGTATAAATTATCGAATATCATAATTCTAGCCAGATAAACATAATCACGGCAAATTATGTAAATTTGAAATATAAAGCAGCCGGTTTCCTTTTCAACAACAAAATCTTGTAAATATACAAACGGTACAAAATTTGCGAACTCGATTCCTTCCACGTGCTAAAACAATATTGTTAATAATTCTCCGCCGCAATAACTGAGAAAATGCTCGTTTTCCTTTCTATTAAATTGGCTCTTTAATACTAACCACTAACGAGCGAAATACTTAACTATCTTCGGAGCAGTATCTATAAATTAGGAGCGTATCGTCGGTTGTATACTATCTCGATTTTTATTCCTTTCAACGGTTTCCGCAACCCGTATTTTTTTGTCTTTTACTATGCTGTTCTTATCTCTTTGCTCGTATGTGGAAGCGCAATACGCAAGCTAGTTGCATTTTAAACATTCATTGATAAAGAGTCTAAAGAAAAAATAAAGATTGTTTTCTGCTAATTTCGCACTACTTATTTTCAAATAGATTTCATAATGCGTACCAGTTACCAGTTTTCAAAATTAAATTAATATTACAGATAAAAAACATAATTAATTAATCGTTGAGTACGTAAATGTATTCACATAAAGCATTTGACAAAAATGCAACATAAAGAATTTCACACAAATTGTTACACAACGAGCTGGTTTCCACTGAATGTCAATGTTTCGCTGGAAAATATTGTGCACCAGCAAAATAGGCATTCACACATTTTAGCGACACTCGCAACCAGTCAGCTTTTAACACTACGTGTGATGAAAAGGTTTTTTCCCTCCACTTCGTAAAGGCGCGGTCCCCCAACGGCCCAACTGCACAACTTTCGATTAATACGCCTTTTTACTCTACCATAAGGGTTGAAACACAACGACAAGGGATTTTAAATTTCAGCGTAGCATTTTTAAAGACCTGTTTCCACTGAAAGTGGATTACAAGGAACATTTCTCTGGAAACCGATATGATAATAAGTTTGTGATAGTTTTAAATTAAATTCAGTATTGAAACCGAAGTCAATTTGATGTTGGTGTCAGAATATAGAGTGTCCATTATCAAAACTATTTGTCTAACCGAGGTATTTGGATAACGACATTAATGTAGTCACTACAATGGTTTATATGTCGTAATATTCATATTAAAAATCCTTATGTACTTGATGAAAGAGTTGAATTTTTATTTACTAAACAAAATGATTTAGATTGCAATTGTAAACTTCCATCTTAATTACTAAATACATGATTAAGCCTCATCATGAAAATCGAATCGAAAAATTTAGAGTGCATAATTTGATCAATTGTGTCTAAAAGCATTTCTGATCAGGAAAACTTTTTCAAACAAACTTTCCCCTACTCGCCAGGGAGTGAAACTAGAAAAAAGTTGAAACTGAAGCAAAGCGTTTTACTGTTGCGTAATATGTTTTGATTGCATTTTCAGTATGAAATACACATATTTCCTGTATATACAGACAGATATTATTTTATTTCTTAAAAGGCTTTTTATGGGTGAACAATATTTTACATAACTATGGGTTATGGCTACGTGTTACAGCATATAATGTTACGCTATTTTATTTAAAAAGCATAATTATACTTGGACTAATACAGAAGAAATGTAATCTCTTATTCAAAGGCTACTTATGGAAGCGTTAATATCAATTAACTTTTAACAATTTCTGTAGGAATTCTCGTAAGAAATTTACTAGCACTGAGAACAAGACTATACACAGACATATGGTCTCTATCTTCAAAGAAAACAAAGCATGCGTGGTTATTACAAATCACTACATAGTATAAGTCGCTTTCTTTGTCCCTATACCCCTATACATGTTTTCGGTTTTTTTTAATAGATAGAGTAATTGCACTGGAAGTTTTATATGTATAATAATTATATCCATTATATAATGGAGAAATTTAGTATCAGGCCGGATCGCTAGTTATAAATAATTAATGTTTCCACTACTTGTATATTAAATTCTTCGTATCCCATTACGGCATTAAAACAGTTTAATAATGAAACCCCGATTACAATTCACAGCAAACCATTTTACAGATCGATTCGATAAAATCATGGTAATAGGCAGTTTGCCATCGCTGTTAATACTTTGATTACCGGCTGCATTTTGATACTAGGAACCGAATAAAAAATCCATGTAACAAAATAACATCAGTTTTAATTTATAAATTAAGTCCGTTAAAAGCAATTCGATGTCCATTCTTTTGTAATTTGATGTTATTAGCGTAACGGGTCACAATACCAATAATTACTTGTTTAAATTATTGTCTGTGTACGATATTCATCAAATTAGAATCCATTACTGCGACAACGAAGTTCCCTTGGCACGTAACGTAAATTAAACTGTGTGTGGAATTTCATTAGCTGGTTGGACACAAAAGTTTTTACTGTTATTATTTCAATTGTACGTTCATTTCATTACGTAGTTACGTGTAGCTTACACTGTAATTATGATAAAGATAATTTCCTTTTAATAGAAATTATAAATGTTTAATTTTATCCAAATTGTTTTGTTTTGTGCGCAATGTATGTAAACTGAAGCTAATCATTGAAACTGCAACGTTCCATGGAATGGTTCCTTAAAATAAATGC